ACTGTAAGAATTTATCGAGTTTTGGACTTCTGAGGACAGCAATGGCAGAATGAACATGGCTCAGAGAAAAAAAAAATATTTTATTATACTAGTAAGAAGGGACCCTTTAATATAATGGAGTAATATTTGAAGTTAAGCCTGCTTTAGAACAATGTACTCAGAAATTACTTACAAGATTGTTTTAACCGAGCATGTCAAACTCACGTCACATGATATTGCGCAACGTATTGCGACTTTTCCCCCATTGCCAGCAATGGGGTGGGTGCGATTTTGGCATGACATATCCAGCCTGCGGGCCAGCAGTTTGACATGCCTGGTTTAAACTATAATAAAGACTATAGAAGAACCTCAGATTTTATTATATAAAGCTGACTGATTTGAATGTGGATTTGGAATTTTAAAAAATGCTAGATTACAAAAGAGATATGGGAAAAGATGCTTTGGATCAGAAAATGGACTTACAAATCATCCACTAAGTGATATGGAAAAAGATGCCAAAATGGAATTACAAATGAAAACAGATTTCTTAATAATTAAAGGGGATATGCAAATAATAAATCAGAAGAGAGATATAAAAAGGCTACCTGTTTTGGATTTACAAAACAAATTTGTGAAACCAATAAAACTGTTTCTGAGAGAAAACAAAGAGAAAATGATAAGAAATCAACTTGTGGGACATTATTTAATTTTAAAAAGATCAAGCTTTTTAAAAGCAGACAGAAGGTCTGCATACTGAACATATTCAGTCAGGGTTAGAATATATATGCTGTGGTTTCTTAAGGCTCGGAGATCTTTTTTTGACCAGGACAGAATGACACAGATCTGTGTAAGTTGAAAGAGATTTCTTTTGCTTTATTTCTTAGTTAAAGTGATCAGTTGAATTACAAAATTGATTTTTTTAGTAAGGCTAATGTAAATATATATTTCTGTGTCTCTCTGTGTGTGTTTTACTATTTCTAGTAGTTCTTAATAGACTTTTGCCGATTAGAATTAAACAATGATTTTTTTACAATTTGATTATTGATAAGGAATAAGAAATAGGAAGAAAAGATGCTTTTCTGAAATTGAAATACTAGAGAAGGTGTTAAGTTAATGAAATTGTTTAAGCTTTATAGGGAATTATCTTTTATATATCTTCTTTTTTTCCTGCCCCTTTGGGCTTTTCTTTTTTATATTGTCCTTAGTTTCTATTAGTTTTTTACCTTTGCATTTGTAAATTTTAATAAAGTTGTTATTAAAAATATTTTATTTTTTATGAATCCAATTAATCTAGATGCATTGAAAATGGTATTATTTTTGTTGCTAGTGTTGTAGTTAATATTTTAGCATAGATATTGCTTTGCTATAGCATACAGTTATTTTAGCATATAGAAATTGGCCTATAGCTTCCATATCTTCTAGATTCTTTCGGTCAGATTTTAATATTTCTGTAATACGGTCCTCATAAAATAATGAAGGAAATATTTAGATATTGATTATTGATTATAGACATATAACAAAATAAATGCCCCAGTAGATCCAGTGCTTTTTTTGTAAAAAAAAAAAAAAAAGGTGCCAGAACTCACACACGTCATACAACCCGCCTTGCCTAACCTACAAGGTTTACCTTTGTAGTTGAAAAAAAAAAAAAACCTTCAATTTTTAGTGTATCTAAAAGACTAGGATTTTGTTCAAGGTAAGTTAATACTATTAATGTTACCATGCACTGTGTGGCTTTAACTTACAACAAGACATCTTATTAATCTTTTGGGGCATTTACCATGGCATACCCATTTAGTTTAATGAGTGGAAATGTCAGCTTTCTATGTGGAATGAAATTGGCCCAATAAAACAAAATTTGGTTGCTTGTAAAAGATTGAATTACTTTTAAGAAGTTGTCAAACAAGTTGGAAAAAATTACATTTGGAGTTTAATATGGATATTGACTTGAAACAAATTAAAGTTGAAACTTTGTCAGTGAACAGATTACTTTTAATTTGCCTTTAAGTTAAACTCAATTTAATAAATAGATCTGATTAAACCTCATACTGTAGGTCCACCTTTACATCTGACCAATACATCATTAATATATTTTTTTTATTAATAATAATACCTCAAAATCACAAGACCTTGGCTTTATTCTTATTCTTCACCTCTGCAATTTGAATATAAAGTATAAAAGACTAAAAATAGATTTTTGTAGACATCCCAGCCTTTGAACTACCCAAGGAACCGAAACAGCAAAGTTTTGCTGTCGGGCAAGCTTCCACACCAGCTGCCTTTCTTTCCTCTCGCTTCGCCTCTTTTTAACCTCACACTCCACCTTCTGTAAGGGAAGGCAAAAGGCTCACTCACCCTCTTGTGAAAGATGGCTTCCATTTTATGTCTCCTACTGCCACCATGGGCTTCCACACCATATGATCTGACTCAGCCAATCAAGCCACACTCTGGCTGTGGTACTCCGGTGCGTCATGGCTCCTCCTAGAGGAGGCAGACAGCACCGGAGGGGACCCTTCTCTCACTGTACCGCCAGTGGGGCATTTTCAAAAGCAAATGAGGATAGGAAGGGCAACAATAGGAAAAGAATGCAACTCTGGAAAATCTGTCGAAAAATGGTGCCGGAACAGAGTTCCGGTGCATTCTATGACAAAAAAAGGCCTGAGTAGATCTATAAAAAGTCAACAAGAAATCCATCTGATCAGGCTTTCTTTGGTTTCATCATTTGCAGTGTGATCTTTGCTAATGTGATTGTGGTATATTGTATCATTATGATGCAGATTGGAATGTGACTTGATGAATAACTCCCTGCAATATTACACACTTATGTGTCCTGAAAAGGAAAAGAGGTCAAATTGCAACATATGCATGACATCATCATCATCACATAAATGCTACAATATGCATCTGACATATAAATAATCAAGTATGCCATGTGACATTTGTATGATGTCGTCATCTTAGTATCCTCACAGTTTGCTGCAGAAAACATCTGCAATGGTATTGCTGCAGCTGTAGCAAATGTCAACTCAGTAGTTCCTTCTGTTTCCAGATTTATACAGGGATGCAAAAATATGATGTCTGTGCCTGAATCTCACTACCAAAGCCTCCAGACCTTATGTCTCATCCTTCTGTGAATAAAGGTAGAATCACAGCAAATTACTATTCCATCCCGTCCTCCAGTGATAGCAAAGCTTTGCTTTGTGCCATACATATTCAACATATGGGCATGGATGCATTCAGATTGAGATAGGAAAAAAGCTTCAGATACTACCTGAATGCTTTCATAGTATTTGTCAGCAGCTCTTTAATGAAACTGTGCCTTATCTTTTTATGGTATCTCTGAAGTTTCTTCTAGGATAACTCAACTTAAATAGTTATGATCTCCAAAGGAACTTACAATAAATGGTTTAAAATAATAAATTGCACTTTAAATATTTTAGAAGACTTTGGTTATCCATGAATGTGGCTAGATATCTAACTGAAGTGGGTTTAGTTGCACTGGTTAATAATCATTTTGGGGAGAGAGATAAGGCGTGCTATCTTGTCAATTTTCATAGATTTCTCAGTAATGGTGATATGGATTTCTCAGTGAATTTTAATAATAATAGAATATTGCTGGAGTGTGTTAATGATTGAGAATTGGATTCACAGTCTTACACTGTCTCAAGGTCACTATTAGAGAATGATAGTTGAGAGCCTCGTGGAGTTTATGTTTTTAATTCCATAGATTCTTTTTTTTTTCTGTTTTGTGCTCAAATTATTACATGATATTCCTGGCAATAGTCATTCAGAGATTTCAGTGTTCAGTGATATCAGTATGCTCATAACATGTAACTTTATTTCATCTTTCCATCTGTATCAGGACTCATAATTAATAATAATAATAATAATAATAATAATAATAATAATAATAATAATAATAATAATAATNATATCACCGTAGTACTTCTTTTCATTAAACTAGACATATCCAATTCCAGCAACCATTCTTTATATATTTTAGTCTCCAGTCTCCTGATCATCTTTGTTGCTCTTCTCTGTACTCTTTCTAGAGTCTCAACAACTTTTTTACATCGTGGTGACCAAAACTGGATGCAGTATTCCAAGTGTGGCCTTACCAAGGTGTTATAAAATGGTATTAACACTTCACGTGATCTTGATTCTATCCCTCTGTTAATGCAGCCTAGCACTATGTTGGGTTTTTTGGCAGCTGTAGCAGACTGGTGGCTTATATTTAAGTGATTGTCCACTAGGATTCCAACATCCCTCTCACAATTACTACTATTGAGCAAGGTACCACCTATACTGTACCTGTGCATTTTCTTGCCTAAATGTAGAACCTTACTTTTTTCACCATTGAATTTCATTTTGTTAGATAGTGCCCAATGTTAAAGTCTGTCAAGATCCTTCTGTCTCTTAAGCCTATCTTCCGGCGTGTTGGCTATTCCTGCCAGCTTGGTGTCATCTGCAAATTTGATGAGTTCCCCATCTATCCCCTCATCCAAATCATTGATGAAGATGTTGAAGAGCACTGGGCCCAAAACAGATGTAGCTGCAGTTCCATTGAGGAATTAAGGTGTTTGATAGTTAAATGGAGGTCGTAATGGGCTGAAGGAAATCTAATACTGAAGCTGGATACAGATAAGATGGAAATGCTGTGTTTAGGTGGGTCTCAGTTTGAGAAATAGGAGAACAGACTTTTGCAACTAAGATTGCACTCCCTTCAAAGCAACAGAAGTGTGTTTGAGGCTTGTCCTTGATTCAAAATTGTTAGGGGAATAGGTGGCATTGTAGCATGGATGGCCATAATAGACTAGAATAACATAGCCTCATGATCCATGACTTAAATCATCTGCTGATTAGATTTCTGCTGTGCTTTCTATATTACTATTCTTGCATTTTTCAGGGTTTTTTTCTAGTTTTACAAATTCATTGTTTTGTATGTATATAATTATGTATATGGTATGTTTATTAATTTAAATAGTTTTTTTAAAAAAAACGAAAATGCTTAATTTTTACAGATAAAAAGTTATGGTGGGCAGACCATAACTTAGGCCAACTGGGCACCTGCAATAAAAAAGATGGAAGGAATCCTACAGTTTTGCGAAACAAAACTTCAGGAATTGTACATATGAAAGTATATGACAAAGCAGGACAGAAAGGTAAACCACACATTAAGTTTTTGAATAATAAAATACATAAATCTCTTTATGGAGGAATATACTTCAGCTCCCATGAACTAAAGTGTTTTTTTTTACCAGTTCTTTCTTTTTCCATAGTCATTTGTGCCCCCAGAAATTTCCAAATCATTGGAAAACCCTGTGATATTAAGTGGTAATGACAGAGAACTACTGGAAGATAAAACAAAACAAAACAAAATAATTACCTACCTTTCTATAATAATTATCTTTATAGCTTGGGGGCTTCTGTTGATATAAGAGCTCTATGCATTCTTGAACATTTTGCTTTGGAACAACTGAAAGAGGATATAGTGTGTTTATTAATATTGCTTTGCAGAACAATTTGGTTGATGTTAGCTCCAGTGTCTTAATTAAAACCAAATACATCATTGCTTAGTTTATTACCTACCTTAAAGTATCTTCTACATATATTCTTTGTTATATATTCTTTATAACTTATCCCAGCTGTACAGTTTTTTTGTTAAAGTTGAGCTTCTTGCACTGAGCTTGGAAATAATGGTAATCTATTAATCTCTCTATATGTTGATTGTTAAGAAAAAGTTGAGGCATCTACATCATCATCCAGTCTTTGGATGAATGAATCAGGCAGGCTTGAAAATCTCTCCATACTCTCAAAACTTTGAATGCAGTTACATTCAGGCTTCAGCTGACAATTTGGGACTAGAATCAACTGGCAAGCTCATAAGAAATCAATAACTAGTGACAAGTATTTTTGTTTATTTAATATATAGTTTTTAATCTACTTGGCTGCCTAGCTCACACAGTGATCCTAGGGGGCTCATGGCAACCAATAAAAACTATAGCATAAAACACATGATACCCTTCCCACCAACATGCAATAAGAACCCATACTACATCCTTTCAGAAAACTATAAGGGTAGAGCCTCCCCGGATCTCAGATGGGACTCAGTTCCAAAAGGCAGGGGTAGCCAAGGACACATCTCCAAGGTCCCACTAGGTGACAATATTTAAAGGAACTCTATACCCAGCAGATATCATTAAGAAAAACCAAGTAAGTAACCTAGCCCTGTGGTGAGAAGACATTTAACGGTAAAATCCAGCCTCTTGAATTTCACCCAGAAAGCAATTGAAATCCAGTGCAATTCATGCAATAGAATTGTAACAAGGACAAAGCTTGGGATGCCCAGAACTGTACACATTGCTGCATTCAGAACTAGTTGTATTTTCTGGATGTTTTCAAGAGGAGTCACATGTAGAGCCCCAATTTGTTACAGTAGTCCTACCTTGTCAGCTGAAGCCTGACTGTAACTGCATTCAAGGTTGTAAGTTTTGAGAGACTATGGAGAAATGTTAAGGCCTGTCTGATTCACCCATGCAGACACTGGATGATGACTCCTCATCTCCAATCAACATATAGAGAGAGGCGTGAAGAGTTTACCACTATTTCCAAGCCCAATGCAATGAGATCTGACTTTAATAAAAAAAACTGAACAATGGGGTTATGTTATACAGAATATATAACCAAAATATATAACCCCCAATTTATTATTGTATAAAACTATAACAAGAGAATTCAAACAACTGAGGATTTCAGGTAGAAACCCTATTTATAAATCTAGCTTTCAAACTCTTCTTTCCCCGACTTATGCAATGGGTTACTTGGGCCTTACTTTAAGAAAAAAGAAAGCTTTACTTCCAACTTTTTCACATTTAAGTCAAATTATTTGAAAACTAACGTTCATATTTGTAAAGTTATCTTTTCAGCTTGTGGTTATAGCTCAAAATGTTAATCAAAATGTGTACTTTCTCTTCCTATTTAAGAAAAAACAAGCCCTTTTGAGCTAACTTTATTATTCTATGGGCAACCACTTAGAGCAAATTCTGAATTTCTAATGGTGAACAACTATAGGTAATTTGCTATTGGTACTTCAAAAAAGAAAGGTATGTCAGGCATACCCTATGTAACAGGGCAGATGACCTATTTTTTATGAATTCTGTATGAAACTAATTAGTAAGGTCTTCTTCAAACTGAGTTTGATTTCTGCTCACTATATATCCATACCTACAGCTAAACTATACCCTGGAGGGTATACAAATATACAAATATTGATCATACACAATGCTGCTTAGCTTTCAAATCCAAACAAGGTTCATCAGCTGCTTCTAGCTACTACCATCTACTAAGATGTAATGTAATGAAATCATTGGTACTTTATAAAAAAATTGTAAAACTTCATTGTTTCTGTAATTTTAATAGGTAGCAATTCTTGTCAAATCAATAATGGAGGATGTTCCCAACTTTGCTTACCAACTTCAGAATCCACTCGAACATGCTTATGTACTGTAGGTTATAATCTTCAGAAAAATCGTATGACATGTCAAGGTATAATCATTTATTCATTTTCAGGGGCTAAGTAAAAGAACTCAAAATACAAATTTAATAATCCCAAAAGTCAAATGTATTATTGATAGTGGAAGAAAAAAAATATCATGCTCTGGGTCTTTGTGACTGTGTTTTCTGAGGGTTGGTTAGTTGTTTTTTTAATGAATAGACTCAGTTCTTTACTAATTGTGTTGTTAGGTTTATAAACTAAACTTACGTAATCTTTGGTTGTATAATTCTAGAATTAGTAATTGATATAATCTGCCCACAAAATGTAAACATTCAGAGCATCAAAAATAGGTATAACCAATAGTGTCTGCATCCCCCCACTGTGTTTTTTTTAATCTGTGTTGTATTTTATTGAGATACATATTGACAGAGGTAAAAGCAGAGTATTTGCACAATCATTTAGGGGTACTAAAATCATTATTTAAAATAGTTGCAAAATCAAATAATTTATTTCAGTTTATTGATGATAAAATAAATAAAAATCTAATCAGTTTTTCAAATTATATCCCTAGGAAAAATTCTTAATTAAAATTAACTTGATGACTTGAACATCAATTTTCTTGCAATAATGTTGACATAATCATGGTTAGAAGCTTAAAATCTCAGTTCATTCATTGAAGTCCATATTTAGCAGAAGTATGTGAAAGTAGAATCAAGCTTCTTAAGAGTATATTTAGACAGATGCAGGTTACAGTTCCAAAAAGATATAATAAGATCTCATGAGGGTCATCCTTCCCACCCACTTTCTGACAAGCAGAAACTGGTTTCTCTTAACAACCATGTGATGGCTTCACAACTTTGCAAAAAAAGATTATAAAATGGGGCAAAATTCACATAACAACTGCCTTGCTCAGTAGTGGAATTTTTGGGCTGAATTGTGGTCATAGGTCGAGGACTACCTATACTAGCTTTTAATGATATTCTGTTTTTTCTACATTGATTTTTCTATTTTCTTTCTTGATATCTTGATGATCCCTCCCACTTCATAATACAACTAATTAAGAGCCAGAAGTTTGTCTTTTGGCTTCAGATATCTGGTTAATTTTATAACTACTTGTTATAATATATCATAATAATAATATATCAACATTTTTGAAATATTATTATTTTTCTTTAGGTATAGAGTCGTTTCTCTTGTATTCTATTCATGAAGGAATCAGGGGAATCCCTCTTGATCCAAATGACAAAACAGATGCATTAATGCCTATAACAGGAACATCTTTTGCTGTTGGTATAGACTTTCATGCAGGTAAATATATGTTTTACTTATAAAAGGACTGTAAATTTAGAAGTCCCAAAGTTACACAAGATCACTATTCTTCGTTCTCAGTTACATAGATCTATATTAAGAAAAACAGTTGCAAAAATGTAAAAAGGGGGAGAAATGTATATGACATATATACTGATTTTCAGTATGTTTTATACCTAAACATTTACAAATGGAAAGAGCAAAAATGAATTTCAAAAATAAAAATCTTATAGAAGCACTTCAAACTAAAAGATCCGAGTATGCTCAGTGAATAAGATATTGTTGGAAACAGTATTTTAAATATTTATTCTATAGGAAATGATACAATCTACTGGACTGACATGGGATTCAATAAAATAAGCAGAGGTAGCAGAGATCAGACATGGAAGGAAGATATCATTACAAATGGTTTGGGAAGAGTGGAAGGCATTGCAGTGGATTGGATAGCGGGTAGGTTTTTTTTGTTATTTTTATTATTTATAACCATTTTACCTTATCTTTTCTGATTTATAACCAAGCAATTCTTTCAGTTTTATCGCAAAGGTGCATTTAAAAAAAATAAAAAAATAGCACCTTTGGGATAACCATGGCCTGTTTTTTCTTTATAACAGTAAATTACCAAATAATATAAGAAAATGGAATTTTATTTACTAGTATAACAAAAATCTGCTTTTTTTTTTTAAAGCGGAGACTTTTTGTCTCTTCATATTATGTGGGATGCTTTTCTTCCGATAACTGTACTATTTATTTTATTGTATTGTACTTTAAATTCTCCAAGAAATACAAATCACTTAGCCAATCATATGGTGATGGTGGAACTAATTCAATAAGGGAATATTTTTTTACTCAAAATAGGTACATTGTGTCTGCAGTGGACTAATCACTTTTACCCTGTGTCCCCACAAATATGAAAAATTGTATTGTTAAAAATGGTGATTGATATTTTAACAAATTAAATATTGGGGGGATTCTTAGGCTGTCAAAATTGGGTTTTAGGTTGACAAGAAGGAGTCATGTGATTTGCCAGACCATAGATTGTTCCATCATGGTATAGATGTATTTTTAACATAAGGAAATTTGCAGAAAGAAAGCTTATTCAAATAGAATAATACAAATATGCCCACTGATTTTGCTTTTTAGTAATTTAATTTGTGAAAAGTTGATATTAGTATTTATTTTTTTTGTAGTCATAACTGATATGTTTAATAATAGCCTTATGTCTCCATAACTGCATTTTCTTATTGCTTCCAGGTAATATATATTGGACAGATCATGGCTTCAATTTTATTGAAGTTTCTAGGCTTAATGGCTCCTTTCGCTATGTTGTCATATCTCAGGGTCTGGATCAGCCAAGGTCTATAGCAGTGCACCCTGGAAAAGGGTAACTTGATAACTGATATGCATGCAAGTGAATACATTTCTTAAAAAGTATCTTAAAATATTGAAAGCTAATGAGGAATAGTGTGTAAAATAGATCTAGGAGTTACAGTGTAAATTTGACATTAGCCCACAAACCATTAAAGCTTTAAAATACAGCTTCACCAATAGCATAAATAAAATCATGTTTATCTACTTTGCCATGCTGTTTTATGGGCTGTTGATATACGTAAATTTCTTTTAGCACTCCCCCAAAAAAATAATTCAGTTGAAATGGTATATTTTGTTGCATCTTCAGTTACAAGTTTACATTAAAAAGGCAGCACAGTTAATACTGACATGAGATTTATTTCAGTATTTCCAAATGATTAGGAGAAACAGCCCTTGAAGACCTGTTCTTCATGTACTCAATAAGTTGATAATGAACATTTAAAAGTTTAATTATTTATACTATAATATAGTATAATATAATATGGACAGACAGAATAGGATATAGTCAATGTGTTTCTTTAAAGAAGCTTGCCACTGGGGGTACTAGAGACTCTCTTTTCTTTTGTCTAAGATAATCTAGTTATCTTACCTTACCTTACCTTACCTTACCTTACCTTATCTCTCCCCCTGCCCTGCCTCACCTCATCTCATCTCATCTCATCTCATCTTATCTTATCTCATTCTCAGAGATGGAAATGTTTGGGTTTTTTTTTCATTATTTTAATGCCTGTATCAAATATATGATTCAGGTATACTTACAACAAAATCAACACAAATAACCCCACTAAAATAAATACAAAAACATATAAAAAGATGTAAAATCATATGGATTAAATCCAGTGGTAGGATTCAAATACATGAACAACTGGTTCTCTGTGTGGATGCTGCTTCCGGAAGTCCATTCTGGGCCTGGGCAACAAAAAATTAGCTACTGCTTCTGCCAAAGTGGTGTGAACCGGCTGAATTCCACCACTGATTAAATCCAATCACCAACCATTTGTAATGAATTGTTGAAGTGAGACACCAAGACAGGAGCACCAATTGGCACTTCTCTTCATAGTGGCATTAAGTCTCAGTTCTTTAATTTCATTAGTTTAGGAATCTCTGAGTGAGAAACCAAGGGCTAGTGAGGGATGCTACATGTCATCTCATATGGAAACTGGCAAATAGAAAAGGGAAATCCATATTGTATGCTATAAAACCTTTCCTGTCTAGCTGCTGGAAGCTAACCTCCAAGCACTATTTGCCATCATGTAATGAGCATGTAACTAGCTTCCTAAATAGAGAGTTTTTTTCAACTTCCAGATCCTGAAAAAGTCACTCCTCTTTGGTTTTTTTCCCCATTATTTAAAAAAATGCCTAGGGAATTAACTGACTTCTGGCACATTGTTAATTGTTCAATCTACAAACTTTAAATGCTGTTCTTAATCCAGCCCTAGTCAACATATAATGCTGTTCAAATCATGGTTTCCAGGGATACAGACAAATATTTTACTAGCATGCTTGGAAAAGATTAATATTGGCTGGGTGGGGTTTATGAGAGCTTATGAAATATATGACTAGGGCTTCTGCTGAGTTTGAAATGTTAGGTGTTCCCCAAGCTAGGAAGACCGTCTAAGGTTAATGATAATTCTACCATTAGTGCCTATATTGCAGTCTATTTAACTCCTGTGGCTGATTCTAGCTCCATTGATACCCTCATTGCTCTGGGGTTGGCTAGCAGAAAATGTAATAACGGGAAGGGGTTTCTATTTAGTAAGAGCCCAGCTTTAAATGTAACTACCTTATCAAATAGATTGAAAGATATGAATTAAAAAGCAATTGTACTTAACCTTAGGCCCCACTATATCTGAGTTTACCAGCGCCTTTTGCCATGCGATTTTATACAGGTAACCTTTGGGTTAGGACTGTAATAGAGCCTGCTCATTACAGTCAAAAGTCAGGACAAATGTTAAATGAATTGCCTCACATAATAACCACCCATCCCTGTTCCCCCTAGTGCAATCATTAAATGATTGTGCAGGTTGTTAAGTGAGCATAGGATCCAGCTAGGACTCCCCTAAAAGCTTTTTGAGGCAGTCAGATAAACAGAATTTTTTTTTGCTAGGACCCAGTTTTCTGCCTTGTTTGTTGTGCATGTTGTGCTCTAAATGGCTACATTTTTTGAGCTGATTTTTTTTCTTCAGCTCCTCAAGGCAATTCACTTAAAGATTTTGTCACCCCTTTTCCAGCATGCAGTAAATTAGCAAATTAGTTTGTTAAAGGGGATATGAATTGGAGGGCAGAGGCAGGGAGTTTAGTTTCAGAACCCAAGATGGAGGGGGGGGAAGATGACACTTGGATGAAGCCGTCTATCTAGACCCATACCAGTCGGGCTTCAGGCCGGGACACAGCACGGAAACGGCATTGGTCACGTTGGTTAATGATCTCTGGAGGGCCCGGGACAGGGGNGTGACAGGAAAGATTTGTGCAGGAGCCATTTCAGCCATAGTCCAACCTAGAGAAGCTAGAATATTTTCCTGGAATGTCAGTGGAACAGACACAAGTTGGCATGTTTTATCTTTCAACAGATTAAGTCCTGGCGAGTTTTCTTCAAACTGGTGCCATTCATCCAGAGATATTGAGAATTCTGGAATTTGGCTTTAAACCCAACTGGAGTGCTTGTAGTTCCATTTGTTACATAATTAGCAAAAATAAACCCCACTGAGATAATAATTATGCATTGTTTTTCAGAACAAAGCCATGGAGTATAGAGGTTAGATTGTTGGAGTAAAAAAAAATATGAGGAAATATGATAACTAAGGAATTTCACTGGGCAAGTAATACAAAATGAGGAAACCAAAAATCCATCTTTAACGACGTTTTATTTGTTTTGTTTATAGTAGCTGCTTTTACACTAGTTCAATTATCTTAAGCGGCTCACAGCAGCAACATAATACAAAATAAAGCAATAGCTTTCTAAATATTTAATAATTTCTAATAAGTTAAATACTCACAATATTCTAATCACATCATATATCCTCAGAACTTAAAACTAACCATTCAGCAAGGTACCTCTGCCAATTTAGCCCTCGGTACCCAAATGGTGTTTGAAAAACTTCAAATATGCCCAGAGTGAGGATGCAGTTCTTATGTCTGATGGGACAGCATAAAAAGAGGATTCTTGGCCAGAGATTCCTGCTCTCTGATTGCCTCTCATTGCAATTCATGAGGAGTAGATACTCTCAGCAAGCACTTTCTACAAGCATGCCTTAAGTGGACAGCTTCTGTTTAGAGTTGGCAGTCTCTCAGATAGCCAGGTCCCAAGCAATATAAGATGGAAAGGTGATTAGGAATATGTCAACCGCACCCAGAAACTCTTTTAGTCACAGTTTCAACTTGCTGCACACTTGCTCTTCCTCTGTTAAATATGGCGTTTTCCCAGAATTAGCCAGTTTCTGAACTCACAGGTACACATCATGCTAAGGTTTACCCCTTAACCTGTTCCTCTCCATCCAGATCCCTACAGCCTCTAGACACTGCAGTAAGATGACTTCCATAGCTCCCAGATAATCTATGGTCTAAACAAGGGGTAGGCAACCTTGGCTCTTTTATGACTCGTGGACTTCAACTCCCAGCATAGCTGGCTCAGGAATTCTGGGAGTTGAAGTCCACGAGTCATAAAAGAGCCAAGGTTGCCTACCCCTGGTCTAGACTGACCAATTGAGCGTCACAAATGAACATGGCTGGGATATTTTTATAAATAGCACTGCAGATCTAGGCACGATCTATTTAGAATTTATCTGAATAATTGTTCAGATAGAATCACTCAGGTAGTTGTTTTTTTTCTTCAAAAGACCATTATGGTGTTATAGTATTTGTTTTTCTATATTGGTGTCAGTTAGTACTTAAGAGTTGTCAGGTAAAGGATGCAATCCATATTTATGGAAAGAAACCTGCTGGATTTCTTCCCATTGTCTAAATGGTCTTTACCATTATGCTCACTAAGGTAGGATGCATTTATTGTTTTACTCTAGGAAGTCATAGAAATAGCTTTGGCATACTGAACAAAAGATCTGTGACTTTAGTCCAATTCCTACTTCCCTGGGAGTAAGTCTCACTGAGACATTCATCTCAAGAGCTATTCACAGGCCTGTGCTAGTCCAATTTAAATATTCGCTTTAATTTGCTTACTGTGTTTGTACAATTATAATAATGTCACTGTAAACATCATTTGAAACCAAATGAGAAAATAATGATGAATCAAGAATTTGTTTGTTATAGCTTTAATAATTTGTCTATGATTATCTATTTTTAAGAAGTATATTGAATATCTGTTATATCTTGCCAGGTTCAAGATGCATTTAGATGTCGTTTAAGAAACTGCCAAGATCCAATCAATGCAGATTCATCAAGTTCCTTTCCTAATGGACATGCTCAAATCATGGTTAGTTTATATTTATCCTTGACTACTATTTGCAGACATAGTGTGCATCAGGGCTATCTAGACCCATACCAGTCGGGCTTCAGGCCGGGACACAGCACGGAAACGGCATTGGTCACGTTGGTTAATGATCTCTGGAGGGCCCGGGACAGGGGATACTCCTCTGTCCTTGTACTTTTGGACCTCTCAGCGGCTTTTGATACTGTGGACCACGGTATCATGCTGCGGCGACTCGGTGAGTTGGGAATGGGAGGC